TCTGTATAAAGAGAAAACATGACAGACTCAGAAAGACACATGGCTTCCATTTCTTTGTGTGTGTGTATGTGTGTGTGTGTGTGTGTGTGTGTGAGTATGTAGGTTCAGATGCTGTGTGTGTAAGGCCAGAGAAAAACATTGGGCATCTTCCTCTATTGTTCTCCACCATAGTGTCTTGAGATGGGCCTCTCACTGAACCTCAATCAATCTCATTGATGTTTAGACTAGGATGGCTATTGAGGGAGCACCAGGGATTCATCGTCCACAATACAATGCCAGGTTTACAGGAATGCACAGCCATGCCTGGATTTCTTTTCCATGATTTTTTGAGATTTAAGATCAGTTCTGCATGTATGCATAGCAAGTGCTTTTACCTACTAAGACATCTCAATGATCCCAGACTTCCATTTCTAGTAGAAAGCATGGGTTTTAATTTTGTTGGCACTTTCCAGTTGGCTCAACACCAGAGGAACATCCCATAAGGAAAGTAAAGGGCTAGCAATTCCCAAGGAATTCTCCCAAGGATGATAAGGAAAGGAAAGGTGGAGATGCTTTCCAGCTGTAGAGTGGAGAGATGAAGAAGGGTGGCATGTGATCTACTGACATATGAATGGCTTCTGGAGTCTCCTCGTATGCTGTTCTGCTATGAATAAGGACCACTCTCCACGAAATCACATTTTTCTCCAATGTAGTGATTATAACTAATTTTCAACTACCATATTGAAATGTTGGGACTGTTTTGAGTTGTTGTTTTTTTTTTGTTTTTTTTTTTTTTTTTTATCTGAGAAGCCACCTTCTCAAGCATGAGCTTGGACTTGGGAGGTGGTCCATTCAGTAAAGTGCCTGTCACTCAAGCATACGGTCCTAAATTCAGATATCTTGCACTCATGTGAGGGTCTGGTGCTACAAGTCTGAAATCTCTGCACTTGGCAAGGAAGAAAGGTAGAGACTGGTAACTCTACAGAGCTCACTGCCTAGTCAGTCTACCTAAATAGATAAACTTCCAAGTTTACTGAGACAGCTTGTGTCAGAAAAATAAGATAAATTTATGGGAATTCTAAACCATCTTGGCCTACATAGCAAAGTCAAGGCCAACCAGGTCTACACACTGAGGTACCAAGGTCTTATCTCAAAGATGATGAAAATGATAATAATATGATGATGATCCAAGGAAATAACTAGCACCAACCTCTGGCCTCTGCACAAAACATACACACACACACACACACACACACACACACACACATACACACACATGTGAAAAAAACAACAACATGGCAGATCACTTGCAAGGACTGACTCCTGTCATGTCCATTCACCACATCACCAAACTTAGTACTTTAGATATTCAATCATGAGACAACATGTATGAAATACACGCAACTACACAATACCCTCCTGCAATTGTTTCCTCACCTAAACTGTTCCTGACAAATTCTTTGTAAAAAGGGGGAAATGGGGAGGAAGACAAAAGGAGGCAGGATTAATCACACTGACTTTTGGCTTTTTATTTTCATCTAAATTGAGCCTTCTGTTGCTTTGCAGAATAGATATGTTGACTATTTTGAAAAACTGAAAATTAGCTACCAATGGACTCTCCCTCCAAGAAAAATACTTGTGATAAAAAGATTTATTGTTTATTCTATTCATGGTAAGTACTTTATTTGGAACTGAAGGGTTGGGTAGAAGGACCAGTTTTTTCATGTTCATAGAGTAGCTGCCTATTGACAATGTCTCAAACATGAACTCCTACCTCTATAGTTGTCCATTGGCCATGTGACAGCCTGTTGACAGCTCCTAAGTGTCCTGCTCATTCCCTTTTCTTCATCAGTTGGTGTGGGAGTTGGAGAAGTCATTCCTTGTCCTCTCTCATTGCTTCTTAGCCCAGAGTAGATTTGGGGCCCATGCTTTAGTGGAGGGGCAGGGAAATAAGACCCATACTCATCTCTAGTTCGGGGTCCATCTGCTTCTCATCACTTGATCTCTTCATTTACCCCATCCCCTCCTACTACAGCCTTCACTGGCATCTCTGTTGTGATTCCAGAAATACCCAGGCAGAAAATGTTTTATTTGTTCTTGTATAACTGATAAGGCTTATTCCAGTGTCTCCTTCCCTTTAAAAGTTCTTGAGTATATTATGCAGTCTCTTATACTCTGCAGTTCTAAGTCTTAGTGTTAATCACCACCTACATAAAGTGAAACATATATATGGTGCCAAGGCTGAGATCATTGGAAATACAGTGTGGAAAGAATTGAGAGTGGACGACCACAAGGAAACAGTGCGTTCCGTGCACAATGAGGAAACTGCACACATGACCTTCCAGTGTTGTGGCAGAATGCACAAGATTAGTGCAAGCCCAAGTCAGATCAAATCCCAGCAGAAGTAAATTTTTACTTTGTAGAAAACTGATAATTACAAATAATCTTTCCAAAGAAATGTAAGTTAGCTGTGTCCAGTAGCTTGCACTTACCTGTAAGTTCAGTCATTTCCTGTCTGCCTGTTCATGTGTGATACTTTGCAAAACCTATAACATTGTACTTCTCCTTCTCTTATAAGTTAAACCCAAATTTTGGCAGAATCCAATGCAATGATGTTATATGAAACTTTTTCTGTAAAACAGAAAGGGTTAAAAGGGTTCATCTTTATGTGGGAAACAAATATTCACAATTGATTATGTTAAAAACAAAAAAAAGCAAATCAACTTGATTTGCCTAGTTTTATTACAAGGCAAGGTGCTTGGTCTTACAACTTGATATGTCATGTTTTGTTGATATCCTTGGAAGGCGTTCCTTTTCTGAGTAGAAACAGAGGAGGAGTGGATGGGGTGTGGCAGAGGGGAGGTGTGGGATGAGAGACTGAGAGGAGAGAAGAGAGGGGAAATGTGTGTGTGTGTGTATGTGTGTGTGTGTGTAAGTATATGTGCATGCATGTGGAGTATATATACACACATCCCATGGGATGGAGAAATGGTTTATGGGATAAGCACACTGACTGTTCGTCCAGAAGACCCATGTTCACCTCCCAGAAACCACATGGCAGACCACAACTGTCTGTAATACCCATGGTAAAACACCGTGCACAAAAAAAAAATAGAAATAAATTAATTAAAAAGAACAAAAATTCCCATCACCTAAAAAAGTAAACATAATATTAGTTACAGACTTGGGGCTAAGGAATAAACAGGTGAAGGATGGGCAAGACAGATGCTTCACCTCATAGGATTTTTGTTTGTTTTATTTGTGTTTTTAAATCATTAAAGTCTGCTCATACAGTTTGAAATGTCTAAGTGTGTGAGAACTTAGGGATATAGATATTCATTTTTCTTGTCATGTGGTTTCATATATTTGTCTTCATGTAGTTCTATAATTTTTAATTTTATTATCTATAGTCATTGTACATAATATGGTGTTACATAAAACATTTCATATGAGCAGTAACAGTTTTTACATTTTATTGATTTCTGGTAGACATCAGCAGAAGTTCAGTAACTGGAATGGAGCATAGGGAACTGAGGCAAGAAACTACAATTCATAATTATAATTTAGTAAGTTGGTGTTAATGAAACCTTAAATATAAAGAAAACAAGGTTAGATGGATCATCAAAAATGAGTGTGTCTTATTAGAGTATCTGTTAAGGTACAATATGGGGGAAAGTTAAGTGGAGGTTTCCAAAACCAGGTTCTGAGGAAATGACAAAGGAAGTGGGGACCATTAGAAGTAAAAAGAGAGGCACAAGAACATTCATGAGACGTTTACACTGAGTACTAAAGAAAGACTGAATATGGCCAGCCTGTATTTCTGGGTTTTGTTGTTGTTGTTATTGTTGTTGTTGTTATTGTTAAAAATTCAAACATTTTGTTTTTTGGTTTATAAATAATGCCATTCAAAATTTCCACCTTCTCTCCTCCTCCCATTTCCTTCCCTCTCCTCCCATTCCCCCACTTCCCCTCCCTCTCCAGTCCAAAGAGCAGTCAGGGTTCCCTGCCCTAGGGGAAGTCCAAGGTCCTCCCCCGTCCATCCAGGTCCAGGAAGGTGAGCATCCAAACAGACTAGGCTCCCACAAAGCCTGTCCATGCAGTAGAATCAAAACCCAGTGCCATTGTCCTTGGCTTCTCAGTCAGTACTCATTTTCAGCCACGTTCAGAGAGTCCGGTTTGATCACATGCTCCATCAGTCCCAGTCCAGCTGGCCTTGGTGAGCTCCCAATAGATCAGCCCCACCGTCTCAGTGGGTGGGTGCACCCCTCTCAGTCCTGACTTCCTTGCTCATGTTCTCCCTCCTTCTGCTCCTCCTTGGGACATTGGGAGCTCAGTCCAGTGCTCCAGTGTGGGTCTCTGTCTCTGTGTCCATCCATCTCCAGATGAAGGTTCTATGGTGATATGCAAGATATTCATCAGTCTGACTACAGGACAAAGCCAGTTCAGGCTCCCTCTCCTCCACTGCCCAGGGTCCTAGCTGGGGACATCCCTGTGGACATCTGGGGCCCCCTCTAGAGTCAAGCCTCTTGCCAACCCCACAGTGCCTCCCTTAATTAAGATGTCTACTTCCCTGCTCGCATATCCGTCCTTCCTCCATCTCAACCATCCCACTCCCCCAAGCTTTCCCCAATCCTCCCCTTCCCCCTTCTCTCTCCCCCTCCCCCTTTGATATTTAGATGAGTATTTTTAAATGTCATGATTGAAAGTTTAAGAAAGTTTGCAAACCACCTTCACTGTTTTTTTTTCTAGAAAGATGAAACAATGGAATTCTAACTCTAACTTCTAAAGAAATGATCTTTTTTCTCCCTCTCTCTCTAGCCATGCAAATTTTACTTTAGGAGACAAAATTAGGTCTTTAAAGTCTTGGCTTTCAAAATCAAAATCTCTACAAGATCAAATGATTAAATATGACCACATTGTTCAATGAGATCATTGTTCCCTTCTCAAGCTCTGTGTCAATAGGAGAGCTGATTTGAGTTAACAAGTCTATATTTTTCACTTTCACTCAGGTGTTGGAAAAGGTGACGGAAGTGACCTAGAAGTACAGATAGTGATGTGGCAGGAGACTATATTTTCCTGTTTTTCTTCTAAAAATTGTATGGTAAGAGAAAACACATTAACTGAAATTTCTGGTTTTATCTGTCATTTGTTGGTGTGTGTATGTGGGGTAGTATAGGGACATTGACTGATGCAGGTGCAGGTATGTGTGCGTGCATGCAGAATTAAGAGGTCAACATTTGGTGCTTGCCTTTATGGCTACTCACCTTATTTTTTGAAGCTGAGTATCTCATTAATCCTGGTGCTTGCTTGATGTGGCAGTTTGGAGAGAAAAAACTACACCCATGTTCCCAAATATTGTTTATAAATGTTCTTTTACATTTAAAGGGGGATATGATATAGATATGAATAATTTGCATTGGTATGGATTTTATTGTCAATTTTGTTATATGTATATGTATTTTTGATCTTGATTAAGGTATTGTGATTGTGTAGTTCATTTTAAAAAATATAGGTTGCTAATGGATAATCATTGATAATAATAAAGCTTATAGTCATGTTACTTAGATTATCTAGATATATAGAGATATATTTCAGTTAGATAGGCATTCTTCATATCTCTCAAAGGCTGCAGAATATGGCATTTAAATGTTTTAATAATTTAGGGTTTTTCATGACAATGAGACATGTCTGCTCCTAGCAGCACCAGCTACTTCGAGAGGAAGATGGGCATCGAAGAGGATCCTTATGGAGTTTGATAGCCATTTGGGCAAGAAACTGCTCTTGCCTGGACTGTTACATAAACTGGACACAGAGAACCCACAGAGAGAGGACTGCTGAACTTGCCTAAAGGTGAGATGGTCTTTCGGGGTTCCTGATTCATGAAAGAGTCTGCGAGACGTTCTGCAGGACACAGCAAAAAGTGACTGAACTGTCTTTGGAATTTCTTGCTTGATGAGAATGTCTGCTGGATACCATGGGCCTGTAGGCCGAAGATGGATGCCCCAACGGTATAGAGGAACTTTGGGTGACTGTCCAGGCAGCGAGATGTCTCTGTCATTTCTAGAGTTTTGGATTTCTTGTTTACTTAAGTATTATTATATCCTTCTGGAGTCTTTGATGGAGTTGAAGAATGAATAGTTATAGTTTTCCTTAGTTATGATAAGAGATAAAATAGATATAAATATTGTAACTGTAATTCTTGCTTGATAACTGCTTTGTTATATGTAATTTTACTATGTTAAAGTTAAAGCCTTTCTTTTTTGTTTAAACAGAAAAAGGGGAAATGATGTGTGAGTGATTTCTTATTAATAAAGAAACTGCCTAGGCCCATTTGCATTTGATAGGCCAACCCTTAGGTGGGTGGAGAAAACAGAACAGGATGGTGGGATAAAGAAGCTGAGTCAGGGAGTCGCCATGATTCTCCTGCTCCAGACAGATGCAGGTTAAGATCCTCCCTGGTAAGCCAGCTCGTGGGCTACACAGAATATTAGAAATGGGTTAGAACAATATGTAAGAGCTAGCCAATAAGAGGCTACAGATAATGGGCCAGGCAGTGTTTGAAAGAATACAGTTTCCATGTAATTATTTCTGGGCATAAGCTAGCCATGCGGGCGGCCGGGTGCCGGAGACGCAGCCCCGCCGCTCCTATTTCAACACTTGCTAATTCAGCAAGACCAGGGCTCCTTGTGTCTGAACACTCCCAGTGTTAGGATTACAGAACTATCTTCTTGTGTATGTGCTGAGTATCCCAGCCTAGGTCCTCATGCTTGCACAACAGTCTCTTCACCAACCAAGCGTTTTCCCTAGCCCTGGCATTTCATTGAAAACACAGCATCAAGTCCGGCAATGGTGCACACCTTTAACCAGTTTGAGGCCAGCCTGGTCTGTTAAGGGAGTTCCAGGACAAGCTCCAAAGCTACAGAGAAACTTTGTCTTGAAAAACAAAAAAATAGAAGAAAAGGAAAGAAAGAAAGTAAGGGAGGGAGGAAGGGAAAGAGGGAGGGAGGGAAAGAGGGAGGGAAGGAGGGAAGGAGAGAGAGAGAGAGAGAGAGAGAGAGAGAGAGAGAGAGAGAGAGAGAGAGAAGAAAACACAACACAGCCTGTTCATTCCACCAAGCCACAAAGAGATGTATGATGCTCTCTGGTTACCATCAGTTTGGTAATGCTTGGTTTTGTTGCAAACCAGAGCTCACTTCACCTCACTGTTCAAAATGGGCTTTGCAGGGCACTTCCTGTAAATTCTAGCCTCTTCTGTCTTTGTCTTTTGCTTTCCCAGCAATCTATTAAGGTTTTAAGTTTATTTTAAATGTTTAAATTCATGTCAGTTTTGGCCATTTTGTCTTGTTTCCAGTCACTTTTTTTAAATATTTATTTATTTATTATGTATACAACATTCTGTCTGTATGCCTGAAGGCCAGAAGAGGGCGACAGACCTCTTTACAGATGGTTGTGAGCCACCATGTGGTTGCTGGGAATTGAACTCAGGACCTTTGGAAGAGCAGGCAATGCTCTTAACCACTGAGCCATCTCTCTAGCCCCTCCAGTCACTTTTTTTAAAGTAATAAATATTACCTAGGAACTTCTAAAGATTCTTTTATTACTAACACTAAGTTCTTTTATCACTAACACAAATTTCTTTTATTACTAATGCTAGTCCCTGCCTCAAACAATTCTTGTTTGTTATTGCCTCTCCTAGCTGAAGGCCTGATTCTTGATGTTCAGTTCTTATATTTTCATTCTGTTCTTTTTGTGCTCAGAATTCTGTTTCTTTAAATTATAATTTGTTCTTTCATTTACTCTGTAGATGTTTCTGAATATTCACTATGTGATATCTGCCAAATCTGTCATTAGGGCCCTCTTTAAAGACATCTGCTGAGGAACTTTTCTCTGTTTCCATTTATGATACCAGTATTCACTCAGTTGGATATTTTTTTTATTAAAACTTTCCGCCTCCTCCCCGCCTCCCTTTTCCCTTCCCCTCCCCCCACTCCCCACTTCTCTCCCCCTCCGTCTCCAATATAAAGAGCAGTCAGGGTTCCCTGCCCTGTGGAAAGTACAAGGTCCTCCCTCCTCCATCCAGGTCTAGTAAGGTGAGCATCCAAACTGCCTAGGCTCCCACAAAGCCAGTACATGCAGTAGGATCAAAATCCAGTGCCATTGTCCTTGGCTTCTCATCAGCCCTCATTGTCCACCATGTTCAGAGAGTCCGGTTTTATCCCATGCTTTTTCAGTCTCAGTCCAGCTGGCCTTGGTGAGCTCCCATTAGATCAGCCCCACTGTCACAGTGGGTGGGTGCACCCCTCTCAGTCCTGACTTCCTTGCTCGTGTTCTCTGTCCTTCTGCTCCTCATTTGGACCTTGGGAGCTCAGTCCGGTGCTCCAATGTGGGTCTCTGTCTCTATCTCCCATCCATTGCCAGATGAAGGTTCAGTTGGATATTCAAATGTGATATTGTCCTTGACTCTTTGTTGTGGACCCCAAGACCAGTTAATTGATTCTTGGTTATGCCTTTAAATTTCTCTTCATACTCTCCTTTATGCCTCTCTGCTACTATCCACTCAGACCCTTGTTTGCCCACATCTAAGTGTCTATAAGTCTCCCCACAAAATCCTCCTTATGTGATGTAACATATGAGGTCCTAAACTATGCATTCTGAAATACCTTCTCACTATGAAAAGCCATAATTGAAAAATGCTGTGCAATATCCTTGGTCAAAGCCAGGAGCCACTCTTTGACTCAATTTATTTGTGTATTTGTTTGTTTATTTATTTATTATGTGTACATGTGTGTGCCTACAAGAATAAATGTCTCCCTTAGTACTGCTTTTAATATTCCTCAGAGTTTTGCTATTTTTGCTTAGTTTCAGGAGAACAAAAAACCTTCTTTATTGATGTCTTCTTTGACCTAGTATTGTGCTATCTAATTTCTATTAGTTTGTTTTTATTTGAGTTTTTTTTTGTTGTTGTTGACTTTAAGCTTTATTGCATTGTGGCCACATAGAATGTACAGAGTTATTTCAATCATTTTAGTATTTGTTGAGACTTGTTTTGTATACTGGCATGTGATCTGTTTTAGAGTTCCATGGGCTACTGAGTAGAATATATACTCTTCAGTGTTTGGGTAGGATAATTGATAGATGCCTGCTAGGTCCATTTGATGTCTGATGTCATATAATTCCAATGTTTCTCTGTGATTTTTGTCCAAATTACCTTTCTATTGGAGGTTAGCTACTGAAATCAGTCACGTGTTATTGTTACTGTGTTTTGAAATTCAGTAGTACTTTCATTTTTGTTTGTTTTGTTTTCAATACAATTGAGTGCCTAGGAATTTGGTGCGTATATGTGTAGGACTGTAAAGTCTTCTTGGTTAATTGTTCTCTTGATCAGAATGGTGTCACCTTCTTTTTATCTTCTGAATATTAGTTTGAAATCTGTTTTGTTAAATGTTAGGACAGCAACACTTGCTTAATCCCCGTTTCTATTTTCTTGTGATACTTTTTCTCTCCTTTCCCTCTAAGCTGGTGCCCATTTGTGAAGATGAATGGAGTTTCTTGTAAACAACTCAAAGATGGATTTTCTTTCTTATTCAAATAGTCTGTGTCTTTTGATTGGGGAGTCAAGGGCATTTATATTTAAAGCTACTGCTGGAAAAGTGTGTTCATTACTATCTTTTTTTGTACTTTGTATTTTTTTTCTATTTTGTGTTCCATTGGATTTAGCATCATTTATTTTCTTTTTATACTCCCCTGTTATTGAGGTATGTCCTCAGTTACTGGGTGTATCCCCTTTTTAAATTAAAGTTTTAAATTTAATTTAAACACTTTTATTGAAAATGAAAATTTTCATCGACTATATTCAGATTACCATTTCCCTCCCCAACTACTACTCCCTACTTCCTCTCTCAGATCCAATCCCTTTCTATCTCTGTTTTGAAAACAAACAAGAATCTAAAGAATAATTGCTAAACTAAGATAAAAGAAACCAGAATATGCCAGTGCTGAATTTCAAAGTACTACTGAATTTCAAATACAAATATGCCAGGTGGTGGTGGTGCCTTTAATCCAGTACTTGGAAGGCAGAGATAGGCTGATCTCCATCAGTTCGAGGCCAGCCTGGTCTACAAGAGCTAGTTCTAGGACAGGCACCAAAGCTACAGAGAAATCCTGTCTCAAAAACTGAAAAAGAGGAAGCCATAATAAAACAAAGCAAACAAACAGAAGAAAATTAGCCAAAAAAAATGAGAAATACCTGTAAGTAGACACACTTTTATATACCCTACACACAAAATTAGAAGACATTTTTATATGTGTGTGGTTAAAAATATAAATAAAATAAATAAATTCCCTGAGACAGCATTATGAGACATTTAGTTTATTTCATGTTGGCAATCTGCTGCTGGGCATGGATCTAGCCTTAAGAATGGTTTATATCCCCAGCGAGTCTCCATTGTGGAGAGAACTATTTTTCATTTGTGAGTGATGATCAACTGAAGCTAGCTTCTGGTTTAGGGATGTGGGCTTATGTGCACTTTTCCTCTTAGCCAGAACTTCATCTGTGCAGAGCCATGCAGGCCCTGTGCTTGCTAGCACAGTCTCCGAGTTCACGTGTATGTCAGCCCTGCTGTGTTTGGAAGGCCTTGATTCCTTTGTGCCTTCGTTCCTCCTCTACTGCATGGTTCACTGACTCCTGACAAGAAGGATGTGATGAGGACATCCCATTTAGGACTGACTGTCGTGGGTCTCTGTATGTGTTTCCATTCAATTCCTTGGCAGGCATTTTCTTTACCCTTTTAAATGCATAGTCATCTCTTCAGTTTGAAGTATTGCTTTCAGTATTCTCTGTGGGGCTAGTTTTTTAGGCATGATTTCTTTTAGCCCCCTTATATCATGGAAAGTTTTTTCTCCTCCAATGATGGCTGATAATTTTGCTAGGTATAGTAATCTCAGTTGTCACCTGTGTTTTCATGTTTTACATTTTAAAGTATTTTTATACTATAATTACCCTCTCCTATGCTTCCCCTTGTTCTCATCCAAATACGACTAATGTTTCACTCATTGCTATTGCATGCACATACATATATTTATGTGTATATATGTATATATTTTTTCATGACTGTAACCTGCTCCATCTAAATAATGTTACTTGTATGCTTGTTTTCAGAGTTAACCACTTGGTACTGAATAACTAGTATGTGTTCTCTTTTCTGGAGAAGACCCCTCTCCAACTCCTGGCATTCCTCGGTTACTTAGAGTCTTTGGTGTAGTCTTGAGCATCACAGCATCTATCTGTCCACTTTGGCTTGTCGATTAGTGTCATCTTTGTTCAGCTCATGTTTGCTTGGTCATACCAATGAGATTTTATGAGTATAGCTTTCACATTACATCACAGCAAACTGCCTGCCCTTTTGACTCTTACAGTCTTTCTGCCCATTTTTCCACAGCGTTCCATGAGTTTACTAGCACTGAGTCCTTAGCTAGATTTCCAGTATCTGGCATGGCCTTGGGTTTGCTGATGTTCTGTAAACACTTACCAGGCTAGGTCATCACAGAAGCTGAGCTAACAGTTAGGCCTGAGTATTGAGGGTGTTGTAAGTGGTTCAGGTTGCCAGGAACTCACCAGAATGGGTGGGTACAAAGACTGCACAACCAGCACAAGACATGGGGTTTGGGGATGGCATGCATAGCACATTTTTTTTAAAAAGCCTTTGACATAGGAAAATGAGATGATGTATATCCAACAGTAATGCTTTCTTGGTTGAGATCTACTATATTTACTGCTGTATTTTCAACAGTGTGCCATCATAGCCTTCAACAGATGTAAGGTTAATTTAAATAACTGAGTTACAATTTCATAGAAAGATTAATATCTACTTAAATATATGGACTTATTGGGCTATGGCACCAAGAATATTTTATAACTTTAGGATGTTTGACAGAGTAAAGGTGAACTTTATGCTTGCACTTTTTAACCAAGCATATAATTCTGCATTTCATGTGTATTACAGATGTTTCATGATGTTGAAACAGACAGAGTAATAATTAATGTATTCAACTGTCCAGCTCTATATGATGATGTGAAAGTGAAGTTTCTCTCTCCGGTGAGTAATCAAGACACACCTTGTTTATTTGTTTTTTATTGAAATTTTCCACCTCTTCCCCTCTCCCCACTTCCCCTCCCCCTCCCTCTCCAGTCCAAGGAGCAGTCAGGATTCTACCCTATGGGAAGTCCAAGGTCCTCCCTGCTCCTCCCAGGTCCAGGAAGGTGAGCATCCAAACAGACTAGGCTCCTACAAAGCCTGTCCATGCAGTAGAATCAAAACCCAGTGCCATTGTCCTTGGCTTCTCAGTCAGTACTCATTTTCAGCCACGTTCAGAGAGTCCGGTTTGATCACATGCTCCATCAGTCCCAGTCCAGCTGGCCTTGGTGAGCTCCCAATAGATCAGCCCCACCGTCTCAGTGGGTGGGTGCACCCCTCTCAGTCCTGACTTCCTTGCTCATGTTCTCCCTCCATCTGCTCCTCATCTTGGCCTTGGAAGCTCAGTCCAGTGCTCCAATGTGGGTCTCTGTCTCTATCTCCATCAATCGCCAGATGAAGGTTCTATGGAAGATACACCTTTTTCTTGTCTTGTTTTTTTTTTTTCTCCTTGTTTTGGTTTTTTGAGACAGAGTTGCATAGCACAGATTGACTGGAAGCTTACCATACAAGCCAAGTTGGCCTTGAAGATGTGGTCCTCCTGCCTCAGCCTCCCAAGTGCTGAAGTTACAGGTTTGTGTCACCAAGCATGACTTTCTGGTCTAGTCTTTTGAATGGTTTTGGTTTGGAATTTCCTTTGCTACAGTGCCCAATAAAGAAAATGACAGACATGTCTGTTGAAGTGCAAATAATAAAAAGCCAGAGACAGATATTAGGGTTCAACCTGAAGATCAGAAAAGCAAAGCAGCCAAGCCGCTAGAGAGATCTTGCCTCCACCAAGGCTCAGACAAACAAAGGCAACCCTATAATGCACCTTTCCATCCTCAGACTCCACATTCCAATGAGTTCCTGCCTCTTTCCCTTCATAGTTCTCTCCAGCCAGGCATATCACTCCTGTCTCCACCTCCCCAGTGCTGGGAATGAAGGCTTGTATTCCCAAGTGCTGGGATCACCTTTGTGTGAGCTCTATTTCTCTTGTTTAGCACAGAGTGGCCTTGAACTCACAGAGCTCTGTCCTGGGATTAAAGATGTGTGCCACTCTCTGGCCTGTATGGCTGACTAATATGGCTGCTTAGCCCTCTGATAGTCTGTTAAGTTTTATTTATTAAAACACAATAATAGCTGGGCCATGGTGGAGCACGTCTTTAATCCCAGCACTTGGGAAGCAGAGGCAGGTGAATCTCTGTGAGTTCACGGCCAGCCTGGTCTACAGAGTGAGTTCCATGAGCCAAGGCTACACTGGGAAACCCTGCTTGAAAAGTCAAAACAACCCACAAATAATAAACCGCTATAGCAAAGAAATTAGAGGAAAGTAACAAATAAAAATGAAACACATTTTCCTAAAGAACATATATAATATTTTTATATTTCATGAATTCTATAAATAAGTGTATATTAATTTTTAAATAAATATGGAAACATCTTGATTTAAAAATAAACAAAATACTACAAAGCAGTGATTATGTTTTTGTTTTGTATATTTAAAATACATTGTGTCCACTGGGAGTTCTGCCATATGTCTTTAATCCCATCACTTAGGAGACAGAGGTAGGTGAATCTCTATGAGTCTGAGGACAGTCTGATATACATTGTGAGTTGTAAACCAACTGGGCCACAATAGTGAAATTCTGTCTCCCCAAAACCCAAAATGGCAAACCAAATTTATTGTTGCCACTATATTAAAACATTTTAAGCATAATTTCTTAGCCAGGCGTTGGTGGTGCACCGCTTTAATCCTAACACTCAGGAGGCAGAGGCAGGCAGATCTCTGTGAGTTCAAGCCACCACATAGCTACATTTGTATTCTTCTTTCCTTATTTGCATCACTTTAATTTCCTTCTTGTAGGCGGAGGCTGCTTGCTTGTCCCTGTCACCCAGAACCAAAATAACCACACAGAAACTATATTAATTAAATTGCTGCTTGGCCCATTAGCTGTAGCTACTTATTAGCTATCTCTTACATATTAATTTAATCCATTTCTGTCCATCTGTATATTGCCATATGGCTGTGGCTTACGAGGTAAAATTCCCAGCATCTGTCTCCAGTTGTGGCTGCATGGCTTCTCTCTGACTGTGCCCTCTTTCTCCCAGCATAGAGCCTAGCTTTTCCCACCTAGCCCTTGCCATGGGCTCAAAGCAATTCTTTATTCATTAAGCAATAAAAGCAACACATAGACAGAAGGACCTCCCACACCACCTTCTCTTGCGTGATTGCTCCAGCTAATATTTCCACCACAATATGGAAAGGGGGTAAAAGGGTAGTGAACACCATTTTCTCATTCGAGTCTATCTTTCTTTTGATTAATTGGAACAAAGATCTGCCAATCTTGTTACTCTTCTCAAATAACCATATCTTAGATTCATTGATTCTGTGTATTGTTATATGGCATGCTTTTAATTTTTTTTCAGTTTTTAACAGTACAAATACCTGGAAATTTCCTATAATGCACATAAGTCACTATATATGTGTGTGTTTGAATATGTATGTATGTATATATATATATAAGAATATATGAGAATAAAGATGGGAATATGTGTGAGAATATATACTGTATATTATATTCTTTCTATATATAAACTATATATATTGTATATAATACATAAACAAATGTATGTATTGATTATCCTTCAACATTCTCTTGAAGCCTTCTTGTGTCTTGACTATATCATCATTAACTGTAAAGTGCTGCAAATTTAATTGATATTATTGCTAATATGGTTTTACAGGATTAAGGGAAGAAATTTTAAATTCACTGGATTATTAGTTCTTTGTGCCAGTTTTATTAGGAAATTAATCTTTTTTCTTTAACCATGTCTTTTTTAGAATCTTCCTAAATACTATGATGACTGCCCTTTTTTCTTTTGGTTTCATACATCTTTTATACGAAAAAACAGGTAGGGATACATTGTAATCCAACAGAAACAGCTAATGTTCCATGTATATTATGACAAGGTTTATACCAGCTATCCTAAGTTATAGAAACAAAATAAATCCTTGAGTTATTCCAGTGCATCGATTATCTTAATGTGGTCTGAAAATCTTTTAGGGTTTGTTTGCATTTATTATCACCATGAAATACACATACAATATACATTTACAATTTGTGTTTACTTTTTATGGGACTCAGTCTTACCTCCACTCTGCTCCTCTCACTTGGGACATTATGTGCCTTGGTGAAGGTTATTTTCAAAATAGAGATGCTTCATTACTCACAAGCAAAGTGCCCTTGGACTATAAGTTAAAATCTATTACACTCAGGTCTTGAGTGTGACCGTAAACTCCTTTCATGGAAGTTTAACATGTATCCCTTAATGCCTTGACTTTGGTAAGGCCTTGAGGAGTGTTGGCTAACTGGCACCCAACCACCAAATTCCAAATGTGATCCAGGTGTCCACAGCTAAGAAACTGATTGGTGCACCTAACATTTAGGACAGAAGTTAGAAAGCATGGGTATTATTGAAGTCACCTAAAATCATTCATGTGATAATTTCCTACTTAAATATGATTTATTAGAAAATCATTTATTAGAAATTAAGCTGAAAATCCTTTTTTAAAAAAATAATTGGAGCCAGGCAGTGGTGGTGCACGCATTTAATACCACACTCAGGAGGAAGGGGCAGGCGGATCTCAGTGAGTTCTAGGTCAGCCTTGTCTACAAAGTGAATTCCAGGATGGGCAGAACTGTTACACAGAGAAACCCTATCTCAAAAAAATAAAAAAAAAATTAGTTGGATTTAATTATTCCAAAGAATTTTATGGTCATGAGAACAAGGGGAGACAGGCAGATAGACAGAGGGAATGAGAATTTACTACAAGCAAAAAAATGGTGTTGAAATGGTTGTCACTGAACAGGCCAGGAGTTAATATTGCCTTAATCACTTCAAACTGACAAACTGACTAAGACCTGATGATAATTCAAGCCTTGTAAGACACCAGAATGGAAAAGCACATGATTTAGATTTGTAGTAAATTTGTATTTCGTGGAGATTTTGACCATTTATTTCTGGATGTGCACAATAGGAAAAGCAAAGTTTGATCATTTTAATTCTCACTTTTATGTAAGGTGCTAAAGATGTTTGTAACATTTAATTTGCAGATGGATAAGATAAACTGTTTATAGGCAGGAGACAGGTGTTAAGCCAAAACACAAAGTTCTTCACTTAAAGGAAAAGCAATGTTTTATTGCTGGGTTTTATTCCACACCTCTTATAGAAATATCACGAATGATATCCTATGAACCAGGGTTGGAAGAGTCAGAAACTGCTCTTACTAAGGTACTTTTGATCTTGGAGAGATGGAAGGGGTCAGCCAACACACAGAGAGGGTCTGAGACTCTGACAGCTAGTGGGGTCCTTTTTATGAAGCACCAGCAAATTAATCATGGCTTCCCATTAGCCCTAATAGAAAATGTAATGATTTTTTTTTCTTGTTCTTAGGCTTTATCTACCAAGAAATGAATTGGATAATACCCATAAACCAAAAACATGGAATATTTACAGTCCAAAGTTTGCAGTAGAAGTGTATTTTGATGAGGTATAGCCCAAAGTTGTGTAGTAGCTGTTGACTAAGTGCTGTTCCCCTTCTTGGAGAGAGACATGTTCTTTCCACTCCATGTTGCGTGTTTCTGTCTTCTAACCTATGTCACTGACGGTGTGTCTGTAGTATATGTGTGCACATATTTCTGGGAAATATATTAAATGTATACAGGAAAAATTATGTCAATGGCCTTTTTTTTCTTTTGAAGGCATATACAATATGGTCTTCCTCTTTTTATTTTTGAGAGAGGGTCCCACTATAAAGCCCTTGCTGGCCTGTAATTCACTGTCGGCTAGATGTGAACTCACAGAAATCTACCTGGCTGTGCCACATGAGTTCAGGGATTAAAGGTGTGTATCACCATGCCTGGATCTCTTTGTACGTACTGTTTGGAACATTCTGTACATAGAAGTATTAGGTATTATTTTAAAGAACTTTGAAGCATTCAATCTTTCATGTCAATATTAGGGACATTAGGTATATTTTGAGAAACTTTGAAATAACAGATTTTTCCTGTCGAAAGAGTTGAGCCATTATAGAAGTTATCTGTGTTCCCACAGTACACATGTATTTATATGTTTCAGAACAAGTATTTATTCTGTTTTATGTTTGTAATTCACCTCTACTTGATTCACAGATTGTTAAGATACATAAGATTGACAGCAATGCTAAATATTTTTTTGTTTCAGTTATTTATTGTACCTGCACACTTGTGTCTCCATGTGCATATGCACGGGTGTACATGTGCCATCGTGCACATGTCAACATCAGAGGACAACTTGTGAAGCACTGTTCTCTTTTTCCATCATATGGATTCTGGGAAATGAACTCAGGTCCTCAGGCTTGACATCAAATATCTTTATCCACTGAGCACACCATCTCCCAGACCAGCAAAATTAAAGTTTTAAATCCAGGAAAAAAAAATCTAGTCCGTTACTGATAGCTCACACTTTCCCCTCTCTCTAGGGGATGCACAAGTAGCTTACATGATGAATTCTTTTTTATTACACATAGGAAGGAGAAAAAGATGCTGTTAAACATGAAAAGCAAAGGCCTTAGTGACGGCTGCTTTTGTGTAACATTAAGTGAAGTTGAAGGAAACCAATCTAGATGTATTAAAGTTCATTGTCCCTGCCCTCCTAAACCAATTAGCTCTAAGGAATGTTGCCTTTAAGCACTGGTGAGCCACACAAATTCATTTTCTGCTTGGTTTCAACTGCATAAAAGAACTGCATAAGTCCCTTCATAGCCATAAAGTCTTGATCATCCTTGAAAAGAATGTCATTTGGGGCTTCACTGAAATAAACTTATTTAGATTTCCCCTTATAAGCAAGGATGTCAACAATTGTGCCAAGGTGAATTTGTTAGGAAATTAAAGATAATTTTAATTTAACTAGTAAAACTCTCTGTCTGTTATCATTACAGGGACACCTTCTAAAAATGTCAGCAGATGACTCCATTATGCAGACCATAGAGTGATTCTGCATAAAGACAGCTACAGCATCAATGGACACTATAATCCTACAGGACCACATCATATGCACAACTTCATAGCAGAAATGTCACTTTGCAGAGCATGGCTATTTAACTCCTGAAAAATCCTGCATTCTGTAGAAATCCCTCTAAAAACAATAGCTCATGAAAATAAAAGAGGTTTTGGGACAGACCACTGATGTAGAAGGGTCTTTATCTATCTGTTGTTTTATTGGTTGATTAATAAAGAAAACTGCTTAGCCTGATAGGTTAGAACATAGGTGGGTGGAGTAAACAGAACAGAATGCTGGGAAGAAGGGAAGTGAGCTCAGACGCCATGCCTCTCCTCTCCAGGGCAGATGCAATGAAGCCAGCCGCCAGGTCAGACATGCTGAATCTTTCTCGGTAAGACTGGTGCTACACAGATTACTAAATATGGGTTAGGCAAGATAATTCACCACGTCGTGGTGCTACACACATTAATAGAAATGGACCAAGCAGTGTTTATATGAATACAGTTTTTGTGTTGTTATTTCGGGGCATAAGATAGCCAGGCGGCCGGGAGCTGGTGGCAGGAACGCAGCCAGCAGCTCCCACTACATAACACAGCAATCAAGAAACTCTGCGTAGTCAGCATTTTGACCCCTTGGGCCTCTGCGTTAGCAGCTCTAAGTCTAGAATGTAAAGCTATGTGTTTGTTCTGAAGTGAAAATAGAATAAATCAAGGCTATGAATGCCACAACTCTTACTTAGCTCAAAGTTTTCTGGTAATGGGAGCAGTAATCTGCACAGAACTGGGAGATGGATGTTTGTTTGTTGTTTGTTTGTTTTATTGCCTCTTACTTGCCATCCTCTACATAATCCACAAAGGGTTTCAGTTCTGTCTTCCCCTAACGTGGTTGTATGATCTTCCATAAATCCAGTTATGGAAACACGAGCTGGAACATGACAGGATGCATACTATGTAGTTTGATTTGCAAGCAGTGTTGATCCACCCATAGGCAGAGTCCATGATTGGTTAGCCTTTTAGTTTGCCATACTGGCAATAAGGAGGAAGGAAACTTCAATACTTAAAAAGTGTTTTTCTTTTTGAAAAAAGGTTAACATTGACGTTTCTCTCCCACCATTCAAGACTCATCAAAATTTCTGCCAGTTGCCAGTTGTTATACTGTTCTGGTTTTGTTGACAGAAAGAAACTTAGTTAAGCCTCTGGCAGTTTTGCTATCTAGATCCCCAAATGAGCAATTCTTAAAACAAACTGAGAAATTCATCTCACAATATAGCTCAATATGAGTTTTCCTAAATGGATTTGCTAATTTGACTTAGGATTATCCAAAAATGCAAAGTGTTTGGGGCAGAACACTTTTGGGGGAGTTTGTTTTGTTTTTCAGGGCTGGGGATTGAAGCCAGTACCTTATACGTGCTAGGCAAGCATTCTACCAGCGAGCTACACAGCAGAACACTTTTGAGGGCATAGAAGTATTGCACCCTTGTAATCAGAATTTTTAGAAGCCAAATACTGGAGGCTGCCCTCAGTTCAAGGCTGTCTGTGCTTCAGAGCAAATGCTGGGCCAGCCTGAGCTACAGAAAGAGACTCAGTTTCAAAAATCCATCAAGAAAGTCATTCTAAACTTAATTGCAAGTACCTTGATTATTTTTAAAAAGTAGATACAGTGAGGGGCTGAGCAGAGATAGCTCATTTAGTAAAATTCCCACTGAGCAAGCATTAGGACTTGAGTTCAGATCTTGGCACCTATCCCAGCACTGAGGGACCAAAGACAGACAAATCTCAAGGGCTCTCTGGCTTGCCAGTCTACTCAGGCAGCCAGCTCCAAGCCCAGAGAGACTTCCTATCTCAAAAAGACTCTGAGGCAGACTTCAATAGCCCCAGGTAGTTGGCCAGGTTTCTAGCACCAGGCAAAACATCTGTCTTGTTGAGAGGGCCTTATGTCCAAGTAGAGAGTCATTGGTTACCACTATGGTATCTGCGACACTGCAGCACCGTTAGGGTTTTCATACCATGCTGCAAACATTCATCTTGGAGAACACACAACCACTACTTTACTAAACCAGCATGATCTCTGACTACATTATAAGCATCTATCCTTATATACAGATTAGTGTTGTCCTCACCTTTAAAAGAAACTTCTCTTTGCAACAAACAGAGACCATTACATGAACCTATAACTGATCACAGGACAGAGTTCTGGAGCCCAGGCTCAATAGATATGTCTACAACACAACTCCTGCCTCTAAGGCTCAGAGATTCCTGCAGTAGAGGGGGTGGGAAAATTGTAAGAGCCAGGGCAACAGGAAGTTTGCTGTGTGACTGAGTCTCCTAGAATGTCAGAAGGCTACACCCAAGAGGCATCATCAACATGGCTACCTAAATAAGACATGAACAAAATCGTCACTATTAGACACACTGTCATGGAAGGAAGAAAGCTCACCGGGCCTCATTCCTAGACAAAGAACTACAGGCAACTAAGGAAGGCTGTGAGCATGGGACATGGTTGTCCCCAAGGAAGAGCAGAACAAAAGGTCATCCAACAACAAATGGCCAGTCCTGAAATCATACAAGTAGCAAGACATATCTACCCATATATAGATATAGCTAGATAAATGTATCCATATGTATGTATATCAATTAAAGAGAAAGACACCATGAATTTGAATGAGAAAGCAAGGTGGGGGTACATGGTTAGAGAGAGGAAAGGGAAGGCAGAAAATGATGCAATTATAATCTCAAAAAAAATAAAAATTGTATAAAAAGGTGAGCGTAAGTAGAGGAAAATGGTCACTATCAACCTCTGACTGCCACACTCATGCATGGGTGAGTGCATACACAGTCATGCCACACACATACAGCAAATAAACAAATGAGCAAATAGAAGCTGTCTTATTCATTGTTATTTTGCTGTGATGAGACACCATAACCATAGAAACACCTATAAAAGAAAGCACTTAATTGAGGGCTTGCTTAAAATTTCAGAGGGTGAGTTCATTATTATCATAGCAGGACGCACGGTGGCACGCAGGCAGGCTTGACTCTGGAGCTGAGAGCTTTACATCCTGATCCACAGGGCCTGGAATGGGCTTTCGAAACCTCACTTCCTCCAAAAAGGCCACACCTCCCAATCACTGTAATCCTATAAAGAGCTCCACTCCCTGGTCACTCAGCATTCAGTTATATGGGCCCCATGATGACCATTCTCATTCAAACCACCACACTTGCAGAGGGCAAGAGCAATCTAGCGGGATGTTTCATGACTGCAGAGTACATAAGTAACATTTGCCAACTTGTCTGCAGTAAAATTATTTTACATAAGGAGCTCTTACTGACAAAATAATACTTTTTCCAATTTAAATTGGCCCTTACTATAAATATAATGTATTTAAATGAAACTCATCATAAACTCACAATTTTATTTAATAATGATTAAGTACTCATTTCTTTAAACAAACTATCTCAAGTTCTGGTTTTGTCTTAAGTACAATTGTACCCAAACAATAAACCATAAGTTAAACCAGAATAATAGTAAAAAATTATCCTTAGGTCTTTATTTTTCACTTCCCCTGTTTCTATTTTATAGAGGACACCACAAATCTTTAATGGACAAACTGTGAGAAGACACACTGCCAAGAGGGATAATAGAGTCCAGGCACCAAAAAGGAAGACCATGGCTTTGGCCAGTCCTCTTCCTACAGGAAACCAATCCTATTTTGCTTCAATCCAGACCTGTTCAGATGAGGCACCACTCAGTAGCCACTGACCATACAAGAGCAGAGAGAACTAAATTAGAAAGACAGTTCTCTCAAAAAAAAAAAAAAAAAGTCATCCCAGGGATGCTGAAAGGCACCCCCTTCCCTTTGGGGAATACTTTGCTTTCCCAGCAATGTGCTCCCAGCATTAACAAGTCTACAGCCTTCACCTTTGTAGGCAGTAGGAACAACTCCTGCTGTCAGCCCCTCTGGTCTTGGAGTGATGCAGACAATGTGGTTTCGGTTGCTTCATACAATTACCTAGTTTAATAAAAAATGTTTTTATTATGTCACAATGTTTTCCAAATTTACACATCATCAAGAGTCATTAAATTCATTGACTGCCAGGTCCAAATGCAGAGGCAAATCAAGGAGTTACAGACCCTAGGCA